TAAACCCAACAAGAATAAACCAGATCAGGTCATCAGGCCCACCCACCTTCCATCATTATTTTCCACCCAAACCAATCCCTTCCCTCAGCACCTTCCTGAGGGAATTGGGGAGGGAAGGGTTTGGTTCTTTAGGGCCAGGTGCAGATTTTTTTTTTTGGGCCGTTTTGTGCTGGTTTCTGACATTATTTCTCCTCTTGATTTCAGGAATCCTTCTCGGAGCACTTGGGATTCACCGGAGGGATCGTGCAGGGGTGAGTCACAAATTTTTGGGGATTTCCAAACATTTTTGTGAATTTACAAACTCAGAGTGGAGGTGAAGGATGAACCAACCACCCCAAGGGAACCTCGAATCCTGATTTTTTTTTTAATTTTTTTTTTTAATTTTTTTTTTAATTTTTTTTTTTTTAATTTTTTTTTCCTCTCTTTGTGCTCGTTTTTCTCCATCCCAGGCTGGATTTATACCGTGCCTCTGGGAAGTTTGAACTCCTGGACAGGATCCTGCCCAAACTCCGGGCCACCAACCACAAGGTGCTGCTCTTTTGCCAGATGACCTCCCTGATGACCATCATGGAAGATTATTTTGCTTACCGTGGCTTCAAATACCTCAGGCTGGATGGTGAGTTCACCCCTGGTGGGGTGAGGGGTCAGTGGTGGTCCAAGGTGGAGCTCAAGGTGGAGACATCAAAAAAAAAAATTAAAAAAAAAAATATAGCAAGGTGTAAAGAAATTAAGATATTTGGGGGTGGAGAGAAAGATGTTGGGGAATGTCAAGATAAAAAAAATACAAAACCATCAAGATTCAAAGATAAATCCCTTAAGTGATGTTGTAAAGGTAACAAAATAGGTGTGAAGATGCAGAGGTGAATTTTAACGTGTCAAAACGGAAAAAGTGAGATAAGATATCAAAAAAATTTAAAAAAATAATTAAAAAAAAATCAATGTCTTGATATCCAGATTGTGTGAGATTGATATGAAGGTTTATATCCAGATTGGCATCAAGATTTTAAATATCAATATCTCGATATCCAGGTTGCAAGATCACTGTCAAGACTTTGAGATAGCAAGATTGATATCAGTATTTATTAAGATTTATTAAGATTTATTAATATTAACATCAAAGGCATCCAGATTGATATCAAGATATTAAAATATCAGGATGGATATTTTGATATCCAGTTTGCAAGATGCACATTGAGACTTTGATACTGAAATACCAATGGAAAGATCAGTGTCAAGGTTTGTGTCAAGATAACAACATCAAGATTTCTATCAGGGCTGATATCGAAATATCAGAGATCGAGATCAATATATTTCGTTTTGATACCAAGATATTGAAGATTATTTCAATATATCAAGGATTGATATCAGGTTTTAGAATATTGATGTCAAATATCAAGATCAAGATATCAAAGATGGGTATCAAGGCATCGTGTCCTCATTGCCTGCTGCTGTTTTTCCCATTTATTCCAGCTGATTTCCTGATTAATCCCAGGATCCTGTCAGGCTGGGGGAGGGCCTTGGGGTGCATTAATTAATTGGATTGCAGAGTTGAATCAGAGCAGGATGGGCTTGAAGGTCCTTTCCAACCAATTTCATGATTCTGAAATTAAAACAAATTAATTTCTGACCCATAGCCCCCACATATCCCTGATATAACAGCCCCCAAAATGGCCTCAGTGCTGCTGTGATCCCAACTTCTGGGACACCTCCCACCCCTTTTTTTTTTTTTTTTTTAAATCTTTCTACCAAAATCAGCCCAACCTTTCACAGGAAATCTTTGCCAGGGGGGAAAAAGCTCCAGCACTGGGGATGGGTCAGGAGTGACTCCCGTGTGGGATTTCAGGGACCACGAAGGCAGAGGACCGAGGGATGTTGCTGAAGACATTCAATGAGCCAGGCTCTGAGTATTTCATCTTCCTGCTGAGCACAAGGGCCGGGGGCTTGGGCCTCAACCTTCAGTCAGCCGACACCGTCATCATCTTCGACAGCGACTGGAACCCGCACCAGGTACGGCCGGGACACACCTGAGCACAGCCCCCCCAGCCCCCCTCAACGTGGGGTTTGAAAATTCACACAGAAATCCACCTCAGAATCGGCCTGCTGGTCCCAAAAAAAATTAAAAAAAAAAAAGTCCGATCGTCGAGGTGAAAAATCAACCCAAAACTCATTGATGGAACTCGTCCATCCAAAAGTTAACGACCCCCAAAAATCAGCCAAGTGACCCAAAGTCCCAAACCAGCTGACCCAAAAATCAAGTCAGCATCGCTGGATGTGACCCAAAAACCCAATGGACTGGTCCCAAAACCAGCTGGGCCAAAGAGGAGCAGTGGGGTTGGAATTCTGGAGTTCTCTGAGAGCCACCCCCAAATCCCAGTGCTGGTTTCCCTGCACCCTCTGGTCTCTGAA